ATCTGTGAGTTAACCGTGCCCTGACTTAGATCAGCCCAGAGATTGTTTCAGGGTTTGAACTGTATGTTAGCTGTGCCCTTAAGCCCCGTTTACACTAGTGAGTTTTGTGGCATTTTTTGCTGCAATTTTTTCGGTGATCCTGTCCATAATAAATAATGGTAAAGAATTTACTTGTAAAGTTTTATTCAGGATACCAAGATTTTCCTAGATGAATGTCTCTTATTTCATATTTCCGAAAATTGCCACAAAAATTGCCACAAAAATTGCCGCAAAAATTGCCACAAAAATTGCCACAAAAATTGCCGCAAAAATCGCCAGTGTAAACGGGGCTTTACAGACCGAGGCCAACTAGACCAAGCTCCATACTCAATATCCTGATAATACTAAAATGTTTTGATCTTTACTACTATGCCATTTATATTTTATCTGTATGAATGTTACTTCAGGGGCAAATCTCACTCTGTATAAGCCTAAATGTTTCTTGAGATTTCCTCACCATTTCTATAAATCTTGTTTGTTTATCTATTGCTAGTTTATTTAATAAGTATATCGCTTGTAAATTAAATCAAATATTTATATATATATATWTTTTATTATCTTCAGATGTCTGCTAGTGGTTATGAGTTTGTTCTTAACTGCTCTGAGTACAGTGAATACAGACGATATGGATTACTGGACAATACTACGTACTCCTGTATTTGTTGTGGTGGGTATTTAAGGAATATAAAATGAATCTACACGTCTCTGCGCTGTGATATAAACACACAGTGAGCTGTAGAGCATGAGAGAAGCAAGCAGAGGCACAGTCAAGTGTTTCCCTTGCTTCTCTAGTGCTCTACAGCTCTACTTATCTCCCACCCTCAATGAAAACCTTGTTTCGAGGCATGGATGAAATTTGAAAATAATTTAAAATTTAGATTGATCATTTATTTCTTAAATCTTATGTTTATTCTGTTTACCCCCCTTTAATATACAGATAATTAGCAATAATGATAATCCTCGAGCCTTAATGGACTGAGTCAATAGCGCATGAGGCAATAAGCCCATGAGGGTGAGAGGACTAATTGTTTTAGTCAAATCCAACTAGTTGGTCAAACATATAGATGCAAACATGTTTTAAGTTAATGCCAATTTAATGTTTTGGTTTTTTAAGCCGACACTATTCACCTATAACTAATAGCCTAGTAATAATAATAATAATAATAATAATAATATAAAGCTTTTTACAAAAGGAGCAAACTGTCAGCAGGGTACGACAACAAGTAAAGAAAAAATTTAGTTTATAAACTCCTTTATAGCTTATAAACTCCTGTTAAAGAAAGCAACAGAGTTGGTAATAGCTCATCCAATCAGAACGCAGCATTGATAATAGATCACTAGTTGGATATTTTGACTAAATATGGTATAGAGTATTTTGTAGCTCATCCAATTAGAATGCAGCATTGATGATAGACACCACTAGTTGGATATTTTGACTAAATATGGTATATTGTATTTTGTAGCTCATCCAATCAGAACACAGCATTGATGATAGACACCACTAGTTGGATATTTTGACTAAACATGGTATATTTAATTTTGTCATTCAACAGGAAGTCATACTGGTGTTAGTGTTTATAACTGAATATGTTGTTCGATTATGGGCTGCTGGATGTCGAAGTACATATGTTGGATTTAAAGGAAGACTAAAATTTGCTAAAAAGACATATGCTATATTAGGTAGGTCACTTCACAGGTTGCCGCTTATGGGCAGATCTAGGATAAGACTGCTGTCAATCAAATGTAAAGGTACAATTGATGGGCTGCAAGCATTCCCAAGATAGTTAAAAGACAAAAGCATGGCGGCCAATGTGGTGCTGTTAACAATGGATGCTATTAAGAAATTTTTATGTTAAATGGCAACAACGCTCCTCCGAGAGGCTGCAATGATGTAACTTGCAATCAAAAAATTGGGAACGATTCATTTGATTGATGGTAGGCAAGCAGGTGACTTTTTAGAATTTATACGGTAAACATTATTTGTTTGTAAAAATAAAATGTGAAACTTAGTGCAAGTTTCTCAAGTTTTCTTTTGGGGGGGGGAGGGGGGTTGGTGTTTTGGGGTGCAAACAAAATGGTGGATTTTGGAAATTTGGTCTGCCCCCTTCAGAAAATCCTGGCTATGCCCTTGGTAGGCTATTGCTAAATTTCCCTGTCCTGACTGTTGTCTCAATCAATGCATAGCAAACAGTGGTAAATTAAATCAGTTATATCATTTGGTTGAAGAATGAATAAGATAACTTTTTCATGTGTTTTGTTTTGAGAAACCAATGTAGCCTTTCTTTTTCTTTTTCTAGATATTTTAGTAATCATCTCATCAATTTCTGCTCTGACGCTTGTTGCTACTGCTAAAGTTCCAACAACAGCAGTAAGGTATGGTGATAACTACTTGATTGGGTAAAGATGATTGATATTTAACAATTATTTGCCGAAGGCGAAGTGAATATCGGGGAATAATAACCATAACGAAGTCTAGGTTATCATTCCCGTATTCACTGAACCTGAGGTGAATAATTGTTTTAGTATAAATACACAGGTGATTCTTTCAAAAAATAGAAAAAAAAGAAGATAAAAGACAAATTGAAAATATGGTAGAAGCAACAAAGCGGCTGGCCGCCATTTTGCATTATCGCTGGAGGTGATTATCGTGTGATAATCTGAGTTTCTCGACCAATCAGCATTCAATAATCTCCTTTGTATTTATACTAAGCTGTCTTACTGTGTTTATCTATATTCTGTGCACTCGTTAGTTATAAGAGCTGCATGCTGAAATTTGATTTTTCTCCGCCGTCAAAAGTAAGCAGTCAGGACCTTTTATGTTCTTGACTGGCGGCAGTAAAAAAACAATTTCACAACAAGCCGTTGAAATGTCTGAGTTTGCAGAATATGGAAAATCGCAGAAATTCATTTGTTTTACTCTATGGTGATGGACACAAGAGGCTACATGTCCCCCCAATGCTTTCGGCACCAAAATTTAATTAATGCAGGAATCCTGTGGATTTGGCAGAAAAGTGATACATCCCCCCTCCCCCCATAATAAAGACTTTGCTATGCCCCTAATCTAAGGTAAGAAATCCCCCCCTTCCCCCACCAGGGCTTGTAGCCAGCCAAGACCATGCTGTCCTAGTCATGATAAGTTGAAAATTCACCTTTTTGCTACTGATATTATTTTTGCCGTGTACATGATCTATTACTATACAAGTACAGCTGTTATTTAATGACATTTGGACATATTTTTTATCTCATATGCTTTCAGCCTGATTAGGTTTTTGCCATTATTACGAGTCCTTCGGTTCGATAGACAAGGAGGAACTTGGAAGCTATTAGCTTCTGTTATTTATATTCATCGAAAGGTGAGTGAGTGTCAAAATTAGCAAACAATAATTATTGGATGAAGTTCAGCTGTAGCTGAGGCAGATAAAATTTCTTGCTGGCAGAGAGGCTCCTTTTTTTCTTTTTTTTTCGGGAAGTAGGACAAAGAAAAGAAGACTGTCAGCAGGAAACGGATAAAACAGCCGAGGTTTTGATAATTTGGGATATCATACAAAAACCGGATTCAGTAATAGTTATTGATTTATTATGATTTAAATTTGTAAACTAAAAATGAATATTTCATTCTGCTTTAAAAAAAAAGCAAAGTTATTTCAATCTCCATCGTGATCTTGAATGAACTTGAACATAATAAATAGAGGATATTACATAGGCGCGCGGAGATACGAAATTTATCTTCGAGTGTTGAAAAGATCTCTCACAAGTGAGCGCAGCGAACGAGTGAGAGATTTTCAACACGAGAAGATAAATTTCGTATCTCCAAGCGCCCATGTAATATTCTGTTTATTATATAATTATCAATGGAGTATGTTTTGGCTTTTTCAGGCAATTCTTTCCGTGTATTTTTGAATAGTCATCGCAATGGTGTTATCTTCACACGTGAAAATAACATGTTATTTTTACGTGTGAAGATATCAATTTTTYGAAATAGAGAAAAATAGATATTTCATTGGTAATTATATAATAAAATAATGTAATATCTGCAGAAAAGCCTAAAAATGAATATTTAATTCTGCTTTCAAAAAAATAGCAAACTTATTTCAATCTCCATTGTTACCTTGAATGAACTTGAACATCACAAATTTAATATCTGTAGAAAAGCCTACAGATAATAAATTTATCAAGTCAAGCTCACAATGAGAAGCGAGATAGTGAGTAAAGCATATAATAACTTAACTTAATCTTAAAGGTCTATGGAATTCTTTGATTGCACGTTAATTAGTCATTACGGCCATGTTGGCGCCATTTAACAAAAGACATCTCATTAGCATCCATTGTTCACAGCACCACAATGGCCGCCATGTTTTTCCCTTTTAGCTCTCTTAATGGGAATGCTTTCAATCYATCAATTGCAAAGTGTTTGTATTGTTAAGTTTTAGGTTTGCACATTCTTTCAGGGTTTTCATTACAGGTTGGGGATTAGAGAATGCTCTGATAACTAAACAAAAAACTCTGGCTTAAACTACACTGTAACATTAATAGCTTATTAATTTGTAAAATTTTCACTTGTTCCAAGGAATCCCTGGAATCTCATGATCTTCTCCTATTATTTTAAAAATTAATGAAAACTCTGTTCTTAAAGGCCCTTGGTCTCGAATTTCAATGCAAATCCAAGCACATGCGTTTTAACTGGTTTCAAAAACAGGCAACCACGCCCTATTTCTATTGTTTGATGTCGGGTTTGCATTTTGATGGAAAACCTGTCCCCGGCTTTGAATTCACCATTGATACTAACAGGGGAGAGCAGGGCTGAATTCAAAACCCATGACAGGTTTTCAATCGAAATTCAAACCTGACATCAGACATTAAAAATAGGGKTTGGTTGGTTTTTAATCCAATATTATGTATTAAGAATTACTCTTTATCACTGTAGTTTAGTTTCTATTTGGAAATTATTGTCTAACACTCTGCAGACGCATGTGTAAAAGGGATTTAGTAACACGAATTAATAATTTCAAGTTTGGTGTACTGAAATTAGAATTATTAATTTATTTGTGCCACTAAAACCCTTTAGACATGCGTCTGCAATACAGTTCAACAGAGAAATTGGAGAAATTGCAGATTAAGCAATATATTTATTTTAATAGTAGTGTATTAATTATTAATTTTTATTTTATTTTATTGTTTTAGTTAACTATCACAACTTTATAGTTTTATTTCAGATACTTCTATATTATTTTTTATATGTTTCATTCAGACTATTCTATTTATTGTAATTGTGAAGTGCCATACGACCTTAGATATGGCACTATATAAATTTTAATTATTCTTATTATTCTTTCTATTTTTATTTTCTCATGATTATGATTATTATTATTATTATTATTATTATTTTACATCTTGATATGAACACAGGAAAAAAACTGGATTCCCAAATAGGAATTTCCTTGAATTCCCAACGAATTCCCATCCAATCCCCAGAGAGAACGAAATTGGGAACGTGGTACTGATTCCCAATGTTAGTTTGTTGGGAATTTTGTATTTCTATCGGGTATTAGAAAGAAATTCCCAACAATAAATCCCAACATTGGTGTTCGAATTGAGAATTCAAGGAAATTCCCAACAAATCCCTAATTTGGGAATCTGTTTTTTTTCCTGTGGAAGAGTCATTGCAGAGACTCACAAAACACTCACTACCACTACATTCAGTATTATGTGGATGTATACATTTCTCAACCCATATATAGAAATTTTATAGAGGGAGGAAAACCAGACAATCTAGAAAGAAAACCTTGTGCTGAAGGAGAAAATAACACATCAGATAAACTCACATGCACAATCAGTGGGGTTCTTACTCGATGTATTCACTTTCAAATTCACCTTTTCGGCGCTAGCTGTCACGTGGTATAAATTGTGTTGGATTGTGTTACGGTCACCAAGAAAATCGGACATTGTTCTCAGATTCCCATACAGATTCCCATACAAATTCACTGTGTTTAAAGAGAAAATTTAGATATATTTCTTTAGTCAGCTATCTTAACAGCAATAAGAAAAGCTTCAATCAAGCTAGAAAAATGATATTTTACTTGTATTTTGAGAGCTAACTAAAGAAATGATAATAATATAACAGACTAAGTGTCTGATAATCTTTCTTATCCCTTATTTTCTTTCCTTTCCTCTTCAGGAACTGGTGACAACTTTATATCTTGGATTTATCAGTCTTATATTTGCCTCATTTGTTCTTTATATGGTGGAAAAAGATGCAAATATTAAGTTTGATAGCTGGCCTAATTCATTTTGGTGGGGAATTGTGAGTAAGCTATAAGCAGTTTGTGCCATCCCATCCTTTCATCTTATTTATACATCCATACATGTTTCATCCCATCCTTCCATCTTATTCATCCATYTGTCTCATTTCATCCATCTTATCCCATCCCATCTATCAATTTTATATCCATCTATTTCATTTCTTCATCACATTTATTGTCCCATGTCCCATCATATTCATCCATCCATCCTATCCCTTCCCACCTATCAATCTTATATCCATCTATTTCATTCCCTCATCACATTTATTGTCCCATCATATTCATCCATCCATCCATCCGCCCGTCCTATTCCATCCATCCATCTTACCCATCCATCTCTCTATTCAGTTTATCTAATCCACTCATCCACCCTTCCATCGTTTCTTTATTCATTCATTCTTTCATTTATTTATTTATCAATAATATAAGAAACAATACAGACAGTAATTCACGACATTTCGAGGTCATGCTGACCACATTATCAAGTGTGTTTAATGGAACTAAATCTTGACTATTTATTAACTAAATGAAAATTTGCATTTTACAAAAAGAGCTTGGCCTTGGTGGAATTGGACTGAACATGAAGTGATGGCTTTTTTGATTGAATAAAAAGCATTTCATAAACAAGGCATTAATCTCAAAATCGTTACTAAACAAGATTTATTTATCCCTTCATTTATTTTTAAGTTTATTCTTTCATTCATTTATTGATTTATTTATTTATCCCTTCATTTATTTTTAAGTTTATTCTTTCATTCATTTATTGATTTATCCCTTTGTTTATTTTTACATTGATACGTTGATTTCTAAGTTGATGTAAGGAGAACTAAAGGAATATTATAAATTCCACTTTCCCTTTCATTTTCGATTTCTTTTATCCCTTGTCTTTTCACTTTTTGTCAACTTAGGCCCCGTTAACACATATCCGGAAATTTTTGAATCCGCAAATTATTTTTTGCGGATACAAAAATGTTTGTATCCACACGCAGCGTATTCAAATCATTTTCACCATCCACATGTATATCTGTTTTCGTAAAATTTGCGGATACGGGCACAAACATTTGCGGACATGTGTGGACGCAACCCGTATCCGCAAAAAAAATTAGCGGATACAAAAATTTCCGGATACCTGTGGACGGGGCCTTAACCTCTCATTTTGTGATTTCGAAAAATATCCATACCACACTAATGAGGAAATCAGAAATTACCAGGGGGTGGGGGTTCAGAGGAAAAACAAAATTACAAGGTTTGTATGAAAGAAAATGTCAAACTCCAGAGGGGTGGGGGGTGGGGGGAGCTTTTTTTGGATTTTGTTCATTGGTGGGGTATGGATATTTTCCRGAACCCCACATCATGTTGCCCTTATTTTGTTTCATCCCATTTTTTAATCTAATCTTTCTCCCATTTCTCACCTGTTTGCTTCACCAGGTAACTTTGACAACAATCGGCTATGGTGACAAGACTCCCATCACGTGGTATGGCAGATTCTGTGCTGCATTATTCGCAGTGTTTGGAATATCATTTTTTGCTCTACCCGCTGTAAGTAAACATAAAAAAACTGATATTAAGTCATATACTGTAATATAGGATTATTAAGAGGTGATTTACATGAGGGGGGACCTCAGGGTGGTGGGCTTCACTACCYAAAGTTGGAAAGTATTGCTACAGTAGTTTTCATCATTCTGGCAAGAATTGGAACTTGTCTGGTCAAAACATTGTCTTGCTGGTCATTTTGACCTGTAATGTTGAGCCAGAAATTAGGTATTATTGAGCTAAAACTCATTTGGCTGCTCATTGTGATTGGTGGCTAACCAGGCGTTATTTTAAGCCCTGGACCTGCCCCCTTGTCTATACCTAGATGTTGGCTAGTAAACACTAGCGTGGACTGCGTCGGTGTTTCTAATAAAACAGTTATCATAGAATGATAAGTTATACACCATAGTGAAAATAGTAACTGACGTTTCGGACGTTAGTCCTTCGTCGGAGTCTGTACCATGGTATTGTAAATTAGAATTATAATCCAGTGAAATCACTTTTTATGTGTTAAGAGAGAATTCTTTTCGTATTCAAGCAGTAAGCACCAAAAGCTATTTTCTTGAACAAAGGCTGTTGCACAAGGCTAAAATCTTGTTATTCAGAAAGATTAACTCGTTTGGAAGTGGAGATGACTGATGAAAGTAGAATCAAAGTGTTAATTAACCCAAAGCAAAAATTTTATTCGAAAATGAGGTTTAGGCCTTCATTTTCTTATTTCCCACATATTTTCTACAAAAAAGCCTGAAAAAGCATCATTCTAACACAAATGCAACAAAACATCTTTGTACAATTGAAAATACTGCTTCAAACAGGCATTTTATCATAGTACATCAGTTTCTAACTGTTTAAAAAAGGTTTTGAGTGTTAACCCAAAACAACAAATTGGATCAAATCTCATATGAAAGTCTAGTTTTTGGTGCTTTTTGCCATTACTGCTCATTATTGGAAAAAATTTCCTCTTAATGTATGTGAATCAATGTTATTGTGCTTCAGGGTATACTTGGTTCAGGCTTTGCTTTAAAAGTTACACAGCAGCAAAGACAGAAACACTTTCACAGAAGACGACGGCCAGCTGCTATCCTTCTACAGGTATTTAACCATGCTATGATGTCATAACTATGGTCTGTTCTAATTGTCTGAACTTTGGAAATCTATTGCCTTGAAAAGTTGGTATGACTTAATGATTATAAACTTCAATACTTTATTAATTTGTCATTGTTTGTGTATCTTTGATACAAAAATACACAAAAGGAAGATTGGCTTATACAAGTGGTGCTTTGAAGCCAATCACTTGATGTCTAAGAAAACTTAATCCAGCCACCTTCTAAAGCTTTCAATAGACGACTTGCACTAACCGGTCACATGACCCTTACTTCCCTTAAAACGAGAGTTCTGTCAAATTAAAAAAAACAGAAATAAAAAGAGGATTTCAACATTAGTACGGAGGCAGAGTTTTAGCTCATAAGCAAAACAGGAGAAATAGCATGATATATAAAATTGAATGTTTTATAAGGATTTGTATGGGAAAATGCACTGGATGGCAAAAGCTTACCAGCCAACACTTTTCCCATACAAATCCTTGTATAATATTTGATTTTATATTTAATGTCACCTCATCTATAGTCAACATTTTGAGCTGAAATTTTGCCCCCTTACTACATTTGAGGTGCTCTTTTCATTTCTTGAGTTTATTTTGACTAATTTGCTCATTTTAAGGGGGATTGGGTCACGTGACCTGTTGGTCCAAGCTTTCAATTTGTTTTCTTTCAGTCTCACTGGAGGATGTACTGCGCAGATATTAATTCTAAATCGGTAGCAACATGGCTGCCTCATATTTATTATAACCGAAGAACGAGTCATGAAAAAACACCTTATAATAATACAGTCGATAGGTAAGGAGACGATTTCAATCAACTAAATAAATAAATAAATAAATAAAAATAAAAATAATGATAATATAATAATAATAATGATAATAATGGGATTAACAGTGGATTCCACAGAGTGGCTCTTCCACTAGATTTCAATTGGAATTCACAAGTTGATTTTTACGGAGGGAGGAAAACCAGAGAACCCGGAAAACCCTTGAAGCACAGGAGAGAACCAACAAACAACTCTACTCACATACGACACYGAGCTCAGTGGGACTTGAACCCTGGTCTCATTGGTGAGAGGCAAGCGCTCTCACCGCTACGCCACCAGGGATAGGTAACTGCAGTGAAACTACCTCAAATGAACACACTAGCATAGGGAGTGGGCACGGCTGGGGCATGTGCGCCCCCCCCTCAGGAATTCTTAGGAATATAGGTGTAATTTTTCGTGGTAATTGGGACATGGAATTAGTAGGAAATATTATTTTATTCCTTGATACAATGTATCTTTTTGAGTGAGTGACTTTATTGAAAAAATTTTTATTCTCTAGATAATTTATTACAGTTTGTAGAATTTTACTTTGTACAATTATGCTTTCAACCTGAGTTGAAAAAAACTTTGAATTATGTAATACAAAAAATACCGGGGGAAAATAACATATACTATAAAAAGAGAAAATAGAAAAAATAGAAAAATAAAAATTATAAAGCAGTACCATTTTGTATATTAGTATTTTTCAAATTCATTTAGGAGAGTACTTTTTTTTCCTAAGTATCTATGTTTTTTTTTTTTCATTATTATTATTTTATTGCCTGTAATGCGCATGCAATAATTTTTATGTATTTTGCGCAAGATAAGTTATTAAATTATTATTAAGTATTCTATAATTACTAGCATTACGTATTGCTATCTTTGATATCAAAATATTCATATTTTTTCAGCTCTCAACTGCCTGGGAGTGGAGCTCCTAAAAAAGGTAGAAAGCTATCATCGGTATGGAAAAGCAGAAATGAAGGCAAAGCTACTCGAAGCCAGTCAGTAGATGTAATAAGAGCCAGCAGGTCTGACTCTGCACCAATGATTGACACTGGCGTCACAGGACAGCGACAAGGAAGCATCGGCAGTACATTGGATACTTCATTCTTTGGTAAGAAATTATTGAAATATTTTTTGTACGCTTTAATAAAAAATTGAAAGGTGTGGTTGATTAGCGTGTCTTTATGTTATTGTTGCTCACTATTTTATACCTCATAGGCCAATCTTTATGTACATTTTTTCCTCATAAGAATTTTAAAAATTTAAAGCTACTTAATAAGCCTTTTGCAAAAACAGGTCACGTGACCCTACCCCTGTAAAAAGAAACGATGTGTCAAAATGAACACCAGATAGATATAAAATTGAATATTTTACAAATCCTTATAAAATATTAACAATTCTGTATTTAATGCCATTTCTCCTGTGTTCCATATAATAAGCTGAAACTTTGCCCTCTCACTAACATTGAGGTGCTATTTCCATTTCCGGTGTTTATTTTGACACACAGTMTCTTTTTACGGGAGGTAGGGTCACTTGACCTGTTGTTGTAAAAGGCCTATTAACCTGCCAAGACTGTTCTTGATTACTGCACAGATTGCAATGAAAACAGTGGCAGCACCATGAAAATTTAAACCAAACGTTTTCTAAATTGTCTTAATATAATTTTGCAGTTCAGTCCAAAGTTCAAGATGATATAAGCCAATTCTAATTTATGACTGCTGCTTTAATGATTGTTTAAGATTTCATTTAAATGCTTAATTCTTTCTGCGATACTTCCAGTAATGACTTTCTTAATATTTACATGGTTAATCTTTGGGCAAAATTCTCCATAAAAAACATTAAATTGTTCTGAAAAATTAACCCAAAAGTTGTGCTTTTTATAAGGATAAAAATAGCTTTGATAAGATTGACAGTCTGAATTTGATTGAGTTTAATCGTATTGTACATTTTAGTACTCATACAAGAAAAATGCGGTATTAATTTTGTTAATTAATGCATAATCTTAACAAACTAATTATAAACAAAATACACAATACATGTATGAACCAAAATGAACTGAAACAGAAGACAAACTGGCAAACAAACAGACAGACAAGCAGACAGACAGACAGACA